AATCTAATTTTTAACTAACAAACTACTGTGCTTGATACATTATTTGGTAACTTTTTGTTTTGATTTAATTTGGCTTTTTGACAATGGATCTTGCTATGCAGCTCTGGCTGACCATGAACCTGTGATCTGATTGCCCCAGCCTTCTAGGATCACAAGAATGCATAGTGCAACAATTCCCAGTGAGTTGGTGTAATTTTGTTTTTACAGCACTGGATTTGTAGGCAGGGATCAGGGCCTTGCACTTATCTGGCAAACACATATCCACTTAAGCCACACCCAGCTCATTTTTCATTTTTTATAGTTCAAGTAGAGTCTTATGCTTTTTGAAAGGGCCAGTCATATGTGACATATTTTTTAAAATGAGTTCGGGAGTATGAACTTCTCAGAAAAAGGATGCAAATGCAATCATACAAACACTGTATGAGATACTATGAGATACCTCTATTTGATGCATGAGTTTAGTCCCCTATCATTTATATTCTTTAAACTCTTCAGGACATGCACCATAGCTTAAAATGACTCAAGGGATGAATTGATTCCTTTGGGGAGTCTCCCAGAGATGTTTAAGAAATTGCTAAACTATGAAAGTGGTAGCTAGAGGAAACAGTAGAACTGTTGGAAATTCAATAGGCACTTTCAATCTCTTCATATATACGGTGACAAAATGTTTGTAATAAATCAACCTGGTAGCATACCAGCACTGCCTCATGACAAAATACAGGGTCTGTTTCTATTACTAGAGCACAATTATTTATAAATCATCATAAAATCATCATAAAATGAGAAATGAATATCCAATGAAGAGAAGCAGAGACACAACTGTGACTCCTGAGCAGCAAGGTCAAGTCAGGTACTTGTCATAACAAAGGTGATTTTCTAACTTCATTTATTTTCCTGACACCTGTCAACAGATACCTTATGTAAGGTTGATGGCCAATTTCCTGTTGTTTTGATGTAGGCAGAAATTGTTTTGCAGGTCTACAGAAAATATTCTTATAACATTGCAGATGACAGAATTGGGTCAATACAGTTTAAAGAACGAAGTAAATTAAAATGTGATTGAAGAAAGTCTGGGTCATTGGAAAATACCTGTTAATATGGTCCACAGAAAAGAAAATACTTCATGTGAGCCATTCTATTCCACTGAACCTTGGCTTTTATTTCGTGCCTCATAGATCATATGGTCTTTTGGTGGGATAGAAAACAATTGACAATGGCTTATTGGAGTTAGCTGAAAAGAATTCCAAAATTTGCATATGTGCCTCACTCAGGAAGGTCTTTTAGGACCTAATGAAATATGTCATTAGGCTACCTAAAGCTTTATGAATTTGAACCCAGAAACGTAGGTGTCCTTTTTCTAGATATTTCTTATGTGAGACTGCAGCCTTCTGCCTTTCTTTTCAGCACGAATATAGTACTTAGAATTGGAGATATGATTGTCTTGGAAGGACTGACCCTCTGTGAATGCCAGCTGCTGAAATAACCAATCGTGTGTACAGGGGACATTGGTTGCACAATGTATTCTAATTGGGTCACTGATTTCCTTCAAAGAATGTATTGATTAACTACAGCTTCAATATAGCTTTGGTGTAGTCTGGCTCAGATTATCCTAATTTTTAAAGGAGAATGTCAATTAACTTAATTGGTATTTTACATATTCTTTAACAATATCTGTAATAGACATTTACTTAATTTTTCCTTTAGATGGTAATCTATATAGCATTTTCTGTTATCAATACTCTTCCATTTTCTGATATTCCTATTAACTAGCTAGGAAACTCCAATGCTGACTTCTTAATAATGTTGGCATTATTTCAGAATTTACTTTTATATACAGTAATTAGTAGGCTTTAATAACTTGATCCTTTTTTTCCCAAGTAAATAGGTGTAGCCCATCTCCTGGTACACAACCATTCGTGTGTCTAATCCAAACCTTAAAGTGAATCGTGTTTTATTATGTAAGTCCAGGAGGCTAATGTGAATATCCTGACATTTAACACAATATTTCCTCTGTGAGAACATTTGTGGATTTCCCCTTAATTTTTTACAAAAGAAATGGAAATTACAGTAGACCCTGTAGTCAGATTTGTATGTGGGAGGAGCAGGGGTAGGGGCACATGCGCTCGTGCACAATATGCGTGCATTCAAGCATACTCACCAGTGCTAGGACTTGAACTTAATTTTTTAAGCCATAGCTCCACTTCATTTTGTTTTGGTGGTTAAATGGAGATAAGTGTCTCACAGACTTCCCTGCATGAGCTGGCTTTGAACTATCATCTTCGGGATCTCAGTACCCTGAGTACCTAGAATTACAGGCGTGAACCACTGGCGCCTGATGCCAGTGGGAATTCTGAACATACAAATTCCAAGATAGGATGTTTTGCACAATGAATATGTTAAAGTGAGGGAAACTAAGCAATAATCGATGTCGGAAAGTCTTTGATGCTCCCCAAATCCATCCCCAGATCCTAATGTGAGAGGTAGCCTGCCAAACCTAGCAGAAAGAATCATTCTTATCTCTAAAGATGGGGCTATGCTGGAGCAATTCTGGCAATTGGGCTTTGCTAGATTAACTCATTTTCCCTAACTGTATCTTCCTTTTCTATAACTCTCTACTCTTGCCCAAATGTAGCATAAAGACACTCAGCTTTAACCATTTTGTTCAGGTCCTCATTTCCTCATGAAGATATCTCATGAAGCTCCTACTAAGGAAATCTGTATTTTTTTTAACTTGTCAAAAACTATTTTTTTGTGACTGAGTACCAGCTGAGAATCTAGAAGAGTAGAAGGCATTTCCTCTCTTGTGCTCTCAACCTACATCTGACTATGTGATTTCAAACAAGTTGCTTAACCTCTGTCTTCTTCAGTAGTTTCAACATTGCAGAAATGACTTGAAGGGCTGCTGTGAAGATGAAATAAGAGATGATATAGATATGTCAAGCTCAGGTCAGTGCATCGTATGGTCTTTCTAAATGCTAGTGAGTAAACCTACTCTCAAAGGAATCTTTAACCATCAGAAAGCTAAAACCAAGGACTTTAAAAATATTGAGAATTGTGCTTTAAAGAAAAAAAAAAATCAAGCCGGGCACCGGTGGCTAATGTCTATAATCCTAGCTACTCAGGAGGCTAAAATCTGAGGATCTTGGTTCAAAGACAGCCTGGGCAACTCTTATCTATAATATATGACCAGAAAACTATGCCTCCATTAGAAAGAATGACATTACCCCATTTGTTAGAAAATGTAAAGACTTGGAAAAAATTATCTTAAGTGAAGTAAGCTAGGCCCAAAGAAACCAATAACTAGTATATGTCTGAGACAAGCAGAAACAGTCAGATAAGTTGATGTTAGGGGAAATGAACCCCAAGATAATTATTCAAATGTTTTTTTTCCTTTCATGCAATTGTTTCTATCTTATTTGTAAGATGATTTCTATGTTGCTTTGTATGTCCCTCCCTCACAGTATAAACCATACTTTCACTGTATTTGATGTTGGTATAATTTGTGGAGGGGAAGGGAAAAAACAAATTGTTTAACTAGGGCTACAGGTAGACCCATTGAAAGAATGAGATGTACAAGTCATTATGTAGAAAAACGAACTTAACAACTTTGGTGGGGTGGGGGGGTGGGGGAGGACCGGGTGGGGGGAGGGGAGGATGGGAAGGAATGGGAATGGGAAACAAAGGAGGAGGCAACAATGCTTGATAAGAAATGTACTCATTATCTTGCCCTTGTAATTGTAACTCCTCTGCACGGTATTCTCACAATAAAAATAAATAAATTAAAAAAAGAAAAAGAAAAAGATCTCCCAAGTGAAGACCTGAAAAGAAAAAGAAAGAATGAAAAAAGAAAACTGGAAGGGGCGCTGTGGCTCAAGTGATAGAACACTAGACTTGAGCTGAAGAGCTGAGGGACAGCGCCCAGGCCCAGAGTTCCAGCCCCATGACAGACAAAAAGAAAGAAAGAAAAACTTGGAAAGTCACTCTCTGGGCCAATTCCCACCGCAACATCCATGGGAAATTCATCACAGGACAGAGCACCTCCCTCCCATGGCTCTCAAAATTTATAGTGTTCTTCAGTGGGAAGAGTTTACCTTGTCCTTGGTTAGCCCCAAGTGAAATACTTTCAGCCTCTCAGTTTGGACTGCTATGCTATTATAACAAGTACTTAAACTGCTTTTATTGGAAAAAGTATTGACTTCTTACTTGGGAGTACAAATTGACTAAAAGCTGGAGAAAAGCTTGGCGTGTCTGCCTCCATTTTGTGTCGGCCCTTGTCTTAGCCATTCACCTTGGAACACAGGAAGGATAGTACTGACTAAATAGTATGTTTATATGAGTGGCTCAAACAACCCTCAGCAACAGTGAGCCTCATAGGACAGATTGTCCCTGAAGCTAGGTCATGACCTGCAGCTTGAGCAATCACCAACAACCTTGCAGCAGGAGGAATCCTCTCAGGAAAGCCCAGCTGTTCACCTCAAGTGGTAAGAGCAAAAACATCTTGTCTGGAAGAACGGAGGTCTTCAAGGACCTTGTTCAGGTAGGGTTTAGGCCTTATCTAACCTAAATGGGACACCATGGGCTAACAGACCACTTCTAGCTACTTCTGGCTATAGGACCACTCCTGTGACTGGGGCTGTTTATGCAGAACCCTTTAGCAAGTCCTTGTTTATTTGAAAAGAAAGCATGTGTCTATACCTAAAGATGGCCGAAAAACGTATCTATGACTAAAGATGGCTGAAAATGATGTGAAGTCTGTCTTCTAGTAACATACCTATGTCAAAAATAATAATCTTCTTTCTCTGCCCATCACCATGTGTCTCTCTTTGGTATCTAGAAGTGAATGGCAAGACATGTCATTCAGAATCATGGGAATTTGGGCCTAGACTTTTGAACCCTGACCTGAAACCTGAGCTACATTTTGAGGTGAGAGCCTAAATTGCAACTCTAGTTCTTTCTCATTATCTTTTAGTTAGTACCTAAGACAAAAGTTACAAGGGCCATGAGATTCTGCATCTTTTAATGAAAGATAAAACAATATAAACATACACAAATTTACAGAGAAGGGGTCAACTTTAATACATTTGGAGTAAAGGTTGTTTCATATTTAAATATGGTATAAAAATAAATGCAAGAAACATTAACTAAGAACATAGACAAGAGAGACACGACTGGCTTTAGACTAAATACATAGGTGAAATGAACCTTTCTGTGCTAATTTATTGTTTAATACATGTGAAGCCATTGTGTATACTTATTGATAATATACTTGTTTTTCTTTAACAATTCTTCCAGTTTGTGACTGAATTTTCAATGAACTGTGTGTCTTAGCAGAAGCTTTAAGAGAAATAGAGAAAAGGAGAAATAAAAGTTTTATTTCACTTGAACTTATTAAAAAGGAAAAGACCCAAGTCCAGCTTAGTAGAAGGCAGAAGAAAGCAGACAACAGTGGGAAATGGAGATGGCGCAGTTCCTTGGAGATGGAATGCCGTTGTCATGTGCACACAAAAGGGAACAATTAGCTCCTTCCTTCATGCAACATCTTGGTCTAACATCCTCTGCTCCAGGTAACAAGAATGAGCTACAAAGTATGGTTGATGACATCAGTCTCCTTCCATGCTACAAGGTTATCCATTTAGTAAGACTGAACAAGACTTGTTAACCTCTTGGATGTCAGAGATTTCCCCTGTGAAAAAATATGAAATGAAAAATGAAAGAAAGAAAAGAAACATATACTCACTGAATAACTGCATACAAGTAGCATCTATTTATTGCAGCTGACATTTCATAAAAGGGTCAAAACTGAGTCTTTTATTTACGTGTGTGGTCCTGGGAATGAAACCCAGAATTCTATGCATGCTCAACACACACACTCACTACTAACTAAGTCCTCCCAAATTGACTCCTTTAAGTACACCTGAGGTCATGTGTCATGATTAAACCCTCCCTCTCCCCCCTCCTTTCCCATCCTCCACCATAGACACATCAAACAAAATATTTTCCCTTCTTCCCTCCCTCCATCCTCCCATTCACTTCCTCCCCACTGCAAACAGACTGATGGGTTCACAGCACACATTAGCAAATCATAAAACATGTCCATAAATGTTCCATAAGGCTTAGCAATGATATAACACCTAGGTTCCCACAGGATTATAAATATGCTAATATGCTAATAACATCTTAGTATGATGCTCTGAAAGATAACAATGTGAATGCATTCAATGAACTAAATGCTGCATTTATAAACATTGAGAGATTTAGGAGGTGTGTTTAATTCAATAAAATAAATTTTGATGGTGTGATTAGTAGAAACTTAAAATATAGAACCTACCTTTTTTCTACAGGGTGAATGGAAAAAAGGAAGTACTTATGAATCTAGAAACAAGTTTACCTATAGTTCTGTTGCTAACATTTTCCATTCTTTCATTCTTTTAACCCAAACCCCAGAAAAATCTGATATATCTGAGTCCCATATGTTTTGTTAGTACATGGAACATGGGGTGCATATTCTTTTTTTCCTTTTCCTTTTTTTAAAATGTTGAAAGCCAACTTGTTGCTTTTAATTACAGGTATTCTAGGTATATACAATTTTTAACATGCATGAACATGTTATGGATTGCTAATTGATGGCTTATTTCTCATTTTCTATGTTCTAATACAAATGTTGATTGCCTATTTATTCAATTGATCCTCTTCTCCCCAAAGGATAAAACAAGAAGAAAGCAAAGAACCTATATGTATATTTATCTTCATAGTATATATATATACATATATATATATACTATGAAGATAAATATATATGCATATATATATATACTATGAAGATAATTTATACTCTTTCAATAGTCTAAACTTGCTACCTACTGTGGTCTGAGTTTGACAAATTGGTGGCTTATGCTGAGAGAAAAATCATTGCTCATGGCCATTGTCATAATCAGTTCTAGCTGCTGTAACAAAACTATGGACTGGGCCACTCACAAACAAGACTTTTGCTTTCCTCAGTTCCTGAGGCCTGCGTATTCAGTGTGTAGTGAGGACTCCCTTCTATGCCCAGATGGTGTATTCTCTTCACACAGCAGCAGGTCAGACATGCTCCTTGAGGCCTAAGACCCATTCATAAAGGCTCCACACTCTTGGTCCAAACACCTTGCCCATGGCCCACTACCTAGTACAATCACCCCCAGGGCTTAGAATCTATGTATGTGTATATGTGTGTATGTGTGTATGTATGTATGTATGTATGTATTTATGCATCTATCTGTCTGTCTTTCTAGCTATCTATTAATACTTTTGGAAGGACTAGGCACAAACATTGCAGCTCATGGCAGCCACATTTGGGGAAAAGAATAATACATTAAAATAACTCAATAATAATTCTTAATGCTCAATAAATTCATCATTCGTAATTTATAATCCACATAGCTAGTGCAAACAGCCCTTTTGCTGTCAGTGGAAACCATGTACTGTTTTCCTTTACTTTGAAAAATGAGTTCACAGCTGAGTTTTTAGTCATGACAATAGATGCCAGTTTAGCAAAGGTATTTCCCAGTAGGCTATATTCTGCTTGATAAGTGGAAACATATCAAAACAAGCAAATCATTAATGAGATATCCTGCTTTGTAAACACAGCATGCTTGCTATAGGATATTCGAGTGAGCTTGTTTGACTGGTCCACCAAGAGAGTGTTCATTTGCCATCCAGGAGCCAGAAGCAGATCCATACTAGACACAAAACCTACTGGTATCTTGACCCTCTATGTCCAGCCTTGGGAACTGTGAGGAAGCAGTGTGTATTGTTTGTAAGCTATCAGTTTAGGGTACTTTCTTATTGTAGATTTAGGGGACAAAGACACAGCATCCACTGTTATGCCGTGTTTGCTCATCCATAGATTAGGAAAATAATAGTCTTGATTTATAACTTTATTCTGAACATAGAACAGTACAAAGGGCTGAAAACTATTTTTGTTAACATTCTGTGAGCTCATTTTATTTTGGCTACTACTTTAGTATTAGTTCTATGGATTCTACCACATACAGCATCTCTTAGGACAGCAGACCCAAAGTCACTCACTGTTCTGGTTCTGAGAAAGGTATTATGGACAAATTGAAAGCTTATAAAATTTAGTATAATATATAATTTAATATGTACTATAATATTATATAATTGTATGTATACTAGTTTTTCATCTTAAATCTAGGCAATAATTTAATCCAACACTGTTGGGATTAAATAGCATTTTGCATATTTACAGACTATAATACTTGCTATATTCATTATTTTAGACTTTGTTCTCTAAGGACAAACTCATATGTGTGTGCAGATATAGTTATTTTAAAATGGAAGAGTTTATCTTTACACAGGGATTCCTCTTTCTAATGTCATTTATGGGGTTCTGGTGGGTACAAAATAGGACTGTTGTGTGGTAGGAGAAAGATGCTAATATAAAACTGTCTTTTAAAAGTACAGACCAGTCACCTGCTGCTGGCTCATCTTTTTATCCTAGCTACTCAGGAGGCTGAGATCTGAGGATCAAGTTTCAAAGTCAGCCTAGGCAGAAAAGTCTGTGAAACTCTTATCTTCATTTAACTAGCCAAAAGCCAGAAGTAAAGGTGTGGCTCAAATGGTAGAGCACCAGCCTCGAATAAAAAAGGACAGCTCTGAGTTCCAGTAACAATGCCAGAACAGAAACAAAAGATTGGACTCTACTACATGGTGAGAGATGGTTGCATGTACTCATCTGTTGCTCGTTTTATTAGAAAGTGCTCAAATAAAAAGAACACTGATCCCTCCTTCCAGGAAACACATCTTGATCTAATAAATAAATATATAAGCTGTCTCTCAAAACACTGTTTTCAGGGAGCTCTGTGGAAGTCAAATGGAACTTATTGGTTTCTACTAATTATCTCTTCATAATTTTTCCAAGTTGAAGAACTTTAGAAATTGAAAGGGCTAAAATTAGCCTTGCCAATAACATTATTTACCAAATTGCTTACAATAATTCAGTGTGAATAATGTCTACATTTAACCACATGCCTACCTACACATGCAGTGAGATTAAAATTGTGAGAAATCTATAGAGAACAAATAGAGGTTCAGAACAACATACACAAATATCCTCAAAAGTGGTCTGAGATTTTTAAAATATCTACAAAATGAACAACAAGCTAGAGAAAGCAAGTACATAATTAGTGTCAGAACAAAACCAGCCTGAGACTTTAGCTGGCAGAATTTCCTATGTGTCACCATAAAACCTCACAGTATCAACAGATTCCTTCCTGTCCTTAGCACTTTGTAGAGATCCTATTATAGGTATATAAGCATCCAAAACCAGAACCAACACCCTAGGCATGTATGCATTTTTAACTTTCTCAAGTGATCTACAGATAGATTTTTAGTTGAATAGTCCCTGGTCTCAAAGTAGTAAAAGAAAGATAAGAACAGGAAGCCTTGATTGAGTAAAAACTGGGCAAGTAGCTAAGCAGTGGAAGCAAGTCATTCCAGTTTTGTCATACATCCTGTGACATCCTTGTCACATGATGAAAAGATGGGAAGCCCCATTTTGCCTGTATGACTCAACCCACATGTTTGATTATTTTCATAAAGATACACCAGGCACTAAACGGACAAAGGAGAAATAAATGGGTAGATTTTCTTGAGGTGGAAAATGGCCATAAAAGTTCTTACAGCAGAGAACAGAAAGTTACCACTAGCTTAGGAATTTATGATTTTTAATTAAGCCTCTCAACTCTTGCTAGTCTTCTATAATTCCTATGGAGCTGTTGCTGGTATCTCCAAGTGTCCCCTGAACATTTACAATGCTTCTTAGACTGCAGAGGGCCTGAGTCGTTACTACCCTTCCACTAGTCTGTGTGACCTTGTGGTGTGGCCTAATGTACCGCTTCACAGCCGTGATCATTTCGTGGGTGAGAATGAGATATTGTTGAACCACACATAAGGAAGGGGAGATGAGAGAAGCTGAACTCTAGGATGTACATTCTGTTTGTTTCTTCAGTCTTGTGTTGGAAAATGTTCTTGTTTCAATTATCAACACAAATGCCTTTGCCTAGATTTCAAAATCATTCATTGCCTGTTTTTTTTTTTTTTTTTTGGTGGGGGGTGCGGGGTCCGGTCATGGGGCTGAACTCTGGGTCTGGGCGCTGTCCCTCAGCTCTTCAGCTCAAGGCTAGCGCTCTTCCACTTGAGCCACAGTGCCACTTCCAGCTTTTTTCTTTTTGCTTATGTAGTGCTGAGGAATAGAACCCAAGGCCTCATGCATGCAAAGCAAGCACTCTACCACTGAGCCACCTTTCCAGCCCCCAAATTGCCTGTTTTTTTGTCCTTCTAATCCACCTACCACACTCATGAAATGGCCCGCTAGCTGCCACAGGCACCAGCTGATCTCTCAGCTGTGCACAATCTCCTCCTGCTTCTAGGTTGAATTTCCTGTCCACATCCCTGCTGAGCCCTCCTAGCTGCACTCTGAATTCTCCTATGCACTCTGGATTCTTCTCACCTAAGAATCCGCATGTTTAGGCTCTATTGTATTATCTTCTAAGTCCCTTCACCTGGCAAAGCAACAGGAAGCAAGAAAACAACATGAATATCATAGAAGTTCCTGAGTAAGTACTTAATTACTTCTAGGTGTGGAAGTCTTGAGTTGGAAATCTCATTTCAATAATAAATTTC